TCGACTGCCAACTACCAACAGTCCAACTGACATCTCTTACTGGGTTTTTCAGTCATCACAATCGTGCCACCGTGCGCTTTGACCCATGACCTGATACCTTGACGCTAATTGGTCAATCTAATCACGTGGTCCTCTATTCTTCTTTGCTCGCGACTCTGCTAGACCTACACCCCACCCCCTCTTGGTCCGGCCAAGTACAATGGAGAGCAAGAGATGCGCACGAGTGCTCATTTGCATAATTTCAACCCCCTCGGTCCTGCTCGCGACTCGGCGAGTGCTGCGAAGCAAGGCTCTGCCTGTTCCTACTCTAATTACCCCGATTGTACACTTAGCGCCGTGGTCCGCTCATATGTTATTGTTTTGCATGTATGTGTGTGGTTTTATAAAATTTATTTTTGCCAAGCCCCCCTGAAACCCCCCACTGTTGTTATTATGTATTGATATATATATATGTACACGATTGTCCACTTAACGCCATGGTCCGCTCTTATAATTGTTGTGCATTTGTGTGTATTTTTTTCCAAAGTGGCTATTCGGACTGAAACTGTGATGCGCATTACTTTGAATGACTGACTTAAAATTGTTCCCTGTGGTAGGGTTTTAACTTTTCTCTTCTACTTTTAATGGGACTTCCAAATGATCAATGATTTTGTCTTTCTCATCAAATAAATCGGGTTTAGACTAGTGCTGGGCGGTACTGGCGAAACCCAGTGTCGGTACAGTAGTCTCCGTCTAAACGCACGGTGCTCGGGAGGGCTCCTTAGTGTGTGTTTATACGGAGCGTGCGTTTACATGAACCTTTGCAAAGGGAGGAAAGGACGCAGTCATCTCAATTCCTTATTACTCTAGTAACCTCCCTTGGAGGAAGGGGGGCATTTTGGCCGCTAGTGTGACAACACGTGACTGTTTTGTGAAGGATTCCCAGACTAGGTTTAAAAATACAAAGGCGTTGAATATGGGGGGGGGGGGGGGGGGGGGGGGGGGGGGGGGGGGGGGGGGGGGGGACACGGGCGTATTTTGTCGATCACAGCAGACAATTACTTATAAATGACACTTATGTCCTCTGGTGCTCTCTGGAATGCGACCTCTTCCTGTCCGTCGTCCGAAAAAACCCAAAAAAAAACAAAACAAGACAAGACAGTGCAAGCAAGACAAAACTTCAGCGATGGCAAAGGCGGGGGCGTGGGGACATATGTTAGACATTTAGTACGGTCTAGGCTTAACCTGTAGGCAAGGAGTCCCATGGACACAATCGCTCATTACGCCAGAGGCTTAGACGTCTCCATTCAGGTCTTCGCGGCTCGAGTCAGGCAATGAGTACGGAACCTAAGGGTATTCGAAGGGGAGGTGCCCACACACAGAATGGGGAGAAGTTTAGAAGGCGCTCTGCCTTTCTTTTTGTTTTGTTTTTATATTTGTTTTTTGTTTTTTAGTGCTTTTTCTTTTCTATGGTCTTTTCGTGTTGCTTGACTGGGGTCCCCATGCTACTCTTGTGAATAAAAAAAAGTAAATTAAAGAATGTTCCTTTCATGGAATTTAAGAAGTTTTCGTGTCGATAATAAGATTATATCCCTTTTATACCATTCTATGATTGAAAGCATGTTACTAATTTTGTATTTGCTGCTGGGCTGGGAATTGTAGGGGAAAATATAAATAAAATTTTGACAGAACCATTAAGAAAGCCAGCAAGATCTCTGGATATGATTTTACTAGAATTGATTAAATGTATGACTTCAAGTGTAAAAAAGATTTTTTTAAATGCATTGTAAACGACCCATCACATTCCCTTTCCACTCAAATTGTCAGATCACGCAGCGGCAGTTATGTACCTCTAAAAACAAAGAAATAAATATTTATAAAAGAAGTTGTATACCATAGGGTTAGGCTTTTGTCAGAATAAACACCAATGTGTATTCCTCTTTCGGATAGCTTATGTATCTATAACTCTAAAGGTCTAGTAACTAAATTCCTGCCTGTTGTTGAATGGTGCATCTGGTTTGCTATGTACATTTTGTCCGTTTTGCTTTTTGTTTCATACTGAATTTTAATGAGAGTAATATATAGGTTAACTTTTTATTTATACCTGCATGTGTTTTAACGGTTCTGTACAGCCAATAAAAATTTCCCTTTGGGATAATAAAGTATCAACTTATTTTATCTTATCTTTCGTATGAGTTCCATACAGTAGATCCACGACCAAGATGAAAACACAGCATTCTGAATTTGAGATTATTTATCCGTCGGCGGGTGAAAATAAAGAATGAAAAAAATTATGACGACAGGACGATCTAAAGAGACATGCACGGGGACTTTACGGGGGAAAAATGCAGACTCACATTTATTTTTAAGAATCATTCTGAGTTACATCTGAAAGTAAGTGAGTTTTCATGACATTATATTTTACATAGCATGATATTTTAATCGGAGAACATCGGTATTCTGAGAGAAGAAATGCAAAGGGTTTTGTTAGGTTCAAGTTCCATACTTTTTCAGACCAAAAAAAATAAAAGATATTTCAGAGTTTGGCTATAGTTTTTTCCTATTCTTTAACTTAAACGATCTCCCCAAAACGATTTGATATAATAATTATAAGATGCATGTAACATTATAGAAGGCCTAAAAAGGCTACTTTCATATACAGTGGGATTATATACATGTACTAGATCTAGCTATTCAGTTGCAGCTTCTGAAATTTGGCAGCTTGCTTGACAAAAACACAAATGTTTTGTGTTCGTATCTCGTCCTTCCTGCCACGTTTCCTTTCCTTTCTTTCGACTCGGTAAGCAATCATTAAAGGAGCAACTTTTCCGCCTTTGTCATTGGATAGTTGAAGAGTTAACTTCCAAAAAAGCTAAAGCGCCCAAAAAAAAGAGCCACAACTAACGCAGTTGCACCATCTATCTTTTTCTTTACCTCTATGGTTCCGGTGTGTCCGAGACATGCTTAGAGAAGGGACGTAACAATGAATGAATTATACGAGTCATATAATTGGTCAGAGTTAAGCCCCATCAAGGAATGCATCAAGCAAAGGGATCAAGGTAGTATTTTACACTGGCGGTCACCGGGACCACGCCCTCAGGAGGAACCAGGCGGTCAAGTAGGGTGGGGTCACGTGGGTGACAGCAGAAGATCTCTCACTGGGCGATGAGCTCCACCCCGCCACAGAGGAGTTTATGAACCAGAAATCTGGTCGTCGACTGAGGACTGTTGACATTATGTATGTGTGTTTTCTTTGTTAACGGCAAGCAGGTGATGTCAAGCTTTCAGGGTGTGTTACAGTGGACATTACTTGGTGTCGAGTGGGGAATGTATGAAAGTATGCCGTAGAAAGTCTCTCTCTCTCTCTCTCTCTCTCTCTCTCTCTCTCTCTCTCTTCTACTCTCTCTCTCTTTCTCTCTCTCTCTCTCCATCTTCCCCCAACCCTCTCTCTGCCTGTCTATCTGTCTGTCTGTCTGTCTGTCTGTCCCTCTCTCTCTCTCTCTTAAAATGTAACTGTAGAAGCTTTACCCCCCCCCCCCCAACATTATTTAAATCTTTAAGGAGGCGGGCTTCCGACCATGCCTGTCAAGGTCAACGAGG